AAAAGTATTTCGTACAATTCCATGGTGACTATTTTTCAAAAGAGAGCTTTGTTATCCAAAAAGTTCTGGCGCTCGTCAAAAATAGTAGAGAAGTGGACGAAATACCTGATGAAGTTCTACAATATTTTGTGAAAACTAGGACGTATATAAGAGTCCGAGAAATAAATCGACGATCATTCGCGATGATAAGCGAAAAGAAGAAGAAAGCGAAAAAAATGAAAAAAATCATTTCCAGCGCAGCTACGAAAACAGTCGATAAACGCGAACATTAAAGAACATACATCTACATACATCAATGATATATCTTCTGTCATCAATCATATGCTTGATATGTTCTTCGTTGTCGACTACCGGATTTTCGTGCTACTCTTCGATCATCGACTTCATCTCTTCGACTTCATCTGCATGCCCATGTTTCATCTCGCCCTTGATAAAGAAAAAGGTAAGAGATATATCATTAATATTATATATGTAATGTGTCTCATAATTCTATTTCAACAATTTCAGTTCTGCTTAAGTAACGTAAGAATTGTCGCACTTACGTATCTGCCGCCAAGTCCTCGGATGCTTCTATCTCGTCGGAAGCTGATATGCGACTGTTGACAGCGTTATATCGCTTATATTGGCACATTTGGAAATTATTGAATACCTACAAATAAAAATACGAAATTACTTCAAAAGGTAATAGTCTCATAATACATTCATTAATAAAAGTAGTATTAAATATTCACTATTTATAAGATAAGTTTTACATTATAGAACATCAATATTTCATTTTAACTTAAAGAAATTAATTGAGGTTCGTCTAATGAATAAATCTTAAATAGTTTAATAGTGCCTTTGTGAGCCGACACGAATGTTGGTGGCTAATAATTTTTACTGTTATAATATCTATATTAAACCACATACAAACAATGCGCTGCATATTTTGTCGGTCTTGAAACACAGTTCTTAAATGAGGCCAGATTCCACTGTAACGAATTAAATTGTCAAACAAAGGCACTATTGAGGTATTTACGAATTATAAACATATAAAACATTTACAGCAAATATAATTCTTATTACTTTGAATAACGTAATATTTGTTATGCAGTTATTGAATTATTTCGCCGATGTCTTACCTTGCCAAATTGAGATGCGATTGCATGCAACATTGACGATAATGAAGCCGTTCAGAGAGTGAAGCGCGTAGTAATATCGGGAAATCAAGTGATGACGTACATCAACGTATATTCTATTCTTCCGGGCGAAGTGATCGACAGGAGATATCTGCGGTAAGTTTACGATTTTTGTTGAGAGAATCACGATGATCTCGACAAATTGTAGACATCACAAAAGGAAAAGGGAGAAAAATCACATGTCAGTTTTGTACTTAATCTTACCACGCAAGATTATTTGCCAATAGCTAACATTTATGTTCCGTGATTATTCTTTTGTGTTATTTTTCGTTGCCTCGCTTTTCTTGATATCTCGAAACTTTCGCATAAATATTCGGTATGCACGACACATTAACATAAATTTGCGAATAACGTATTTATATACTGCATATTGTGTTGCTTGGCAACATCGGGTAAAATATAGGTTGACAGATACACATGTGTCTGGAGATTAATCTTATACAGTGCATCTTGCTATTTTAGAAGTGTACATGTCCTATGCTCTCATCATGTTATTGTTTTCTTTTTTTAGGAAAATGTATTATAAAATGTTTCAGTGAAACATTTATTTACTATCCATCGGTCCAGGCCCACGTGTAGGACATTAAGATTTAATAGATGCCGATCCTTGTGCACACCACTCCTGCCGAGCAGGACCACGTTGTTGGCGAATAAATATTGTCCGCGATACCAGTATGAGCTGGAGAAGCTCTTAATTTGATACGCTTGCAAAGTCATGACATTATGTGTTACGACAATAATGTGTTTGTAAGTAGCGCAATATAGAGTCCCGAATCTGGAGGTAAGTGGCAATATGCAACAGGGTATGTACGAACCAAAGGCTCGCGTGTTGGACGAGTTGTTTGATCCTTTACACGTATTGCTGAGAGCAGTCCATAGAAGATACTTCCAAGTGTCTATGGATCGTGTTAACGATAATCCCTTGTGTTATTACATATGAGGATAGTGTTTGTAAAAATACATTATCTCCCGTCAAAATGTAAAGATAACTTAAAAAAAATGTCTAAATAAATATAACTTACCAGATTTTATCTAGAAAATAAAAAAAATTATCGAGTATTTTACTAAC